AGGGGGGGTGTATGTAAGTGTGGCGGACTGAGGACAGTCATCCGCAAAACACACGCGTAGTGGAAGCATTTGTCGGCAGTGATGACATTTTACCCTTCTTACTCCAGAGACCCATTTCAAATTGCTTCCCGCATCCCAAAACGACTCCTGTGAAAGTATTACGGTAGTCCCTCAGTACGCTGTGCTCGTCCATTTTGGTGTTTATGATGTCACGTGATTTTCGGCCTCTCACGCACTGCCCGGGCGGCTGTTTGAGGATCGGCTGGGCTGCAGACCACCAAGTGCGAAGTCATTGGGCCAGGTGGTACTACTTTCAGGGTACCGAAATAGCACTTAATGGCATATTCATTGTTTTGACGGTCATGCTTATCTGGCTCAGGGACGTCATGAGGTAGAGACTAAACGGCCGACCAAACCTCTTGACAGCCCATGCTCCGAGCCTAGGACACCGATCGACATGAATCCTTCACCATTCGATGTCGCTTAGTCGATATTCTATCGTGTCCAGAACATGATTAACTGGGGTCAGGTCAAAGGTCACCACAAATACAAAACCTCGAAAAATAAGTTTGCAGACAACCCCATGCTCCGAGCTTGTGGGGCCGATCAGCATGAAATATTCACCAATCGTTACACCATAGTCCATATCCTATCCTTGCCAGAACATTGTGGCTTTGGGTCAGGTCAAAGATCACAAAAGAAAACAACTGCCGAAACCACCTCAAATTAGTTTGCAGACAATACCATGCTCCGAGCCTATAGAACAGCTCGGCACCAAACCTTTACCAATCGATGTATCACAGTCGATAACCTATCCTTTTCAGAACGTGGCGACCTAGGGTGGGGTCAAGAGTCACCGAAACGCCCAAAGCCTGCCTGAAATTAGTTTGCAGACAGCCCGTGGTCCGAGCCTATTGGACTGATTGACACCAAAACTTCACCCTTGGATGGAGTTTAGTGCAGCCCACTAAATTTCCAGCTTCGTATGCTTAGTTATTTGCTGAGTTACCTTGCCCTTAATGCTCAGCCCGACGCCGACGCCGCCATTTTTTGTTAAGCAGGTGTCACCCTGAGCAGTCGCTGCCGCCGTCACACCACGTTTTGCTGAGAATGAAAGGGCCCAAACGCATTGTTTGTCAACGCCGCCGTGTTAAGAGGCTGACCAGGACTTCGCGCGATGGTTCCGAGGCTGCAAATTTTATGTGCTCGCGTCGGACGTCACTTCGTGTTCCCGGAGGACCGCAACGGTTCTCTCGCTCCTAGAACGGGAAGTCCAAGAGCTAACCGGGACACTGCCAGATGCACCGGAAGCAGCTCCAGATGAGTATAGCAAATTTACTGCTAAACTGTCGTCACGTTTTGATGCTGAAGTTAATCCCACTTACGAGCGAGCCCAGCTCCATGCTCTCGGAGGGAAAACCGGAAGGAGTTTTGGGGTTTTCGTGTCCCGCCTGCGAATCCAAAAGGACCGCTGCCAGTACTTGTCCAAGCAGCGTGATGCAGTCGTGATCGAGCGCGCGGTGGCTCACTGCGCGGACAGGGAGCTCCAGAATATTGTTTTTGGGAAGGTCGGTGCTAACTTCGAGCTAAGCCCTGGAAATAGCGAAACAGGAGGAACAAGTCGTGCCCTGGTGGACGGCCTAAATTTCACCGCCCCCTCAGTTGGCTCGTCCGAGGCGAGTGTTTACCTGCTAACGCATCGCCGGGCCACATCAGCCACTCGAACCTGCGGTCAAGCCGCACCGGTCGTGCGGCCCTGAGGACCGATTCAAGCTCCCCGGGGCCCGACAGCGCCGCCGTGCTGCAGGCGCCGTATCAGGCGCCACGCCGGCGGGAACTGTCCGCCCAAGCAAGCCGGATGTTATGCTTGTCACCGAGTGGGCCATACCAGGAACGCCTGCCGAAGCAGAAACCAGCCGAGAAGTGATCGCGCAAATCAGGTCCCTGCAGATGTTCCAGCTCTTCAAGATTGCGCTCACCAGGCGGTGGAAGACTATGCCTACTGGTATCAACGCGGCGATCGACAGATCGACTCCAGCAGTCACAGATGTTTCGCTCAATGTAGCATCGGTCATGATGCAAGTAGGTACGGGCGCAAGTCACTCCATCATCAGCAGGGCGATGTTCACCAGCATGTGGGCCAACCCACCAAGCTTGGAGCCGCTGAGCTGGCCCCTGCTGACTTACACGGCGAGAGGAAGTCCCGGTAGTGGGTGTGGCCACAGTGGATGTCGTCTACCAAGGCCAGAAGGCGACGCCGTCTCTCGTCGTTGCGAACACAGAGGGACCGCCTCTACTAGGACGGGAGTGGCTACATGTGATCAAGCTGGATTGGGAGTCCCTCTTCAGCCCAGATTCCCTGTACAATCTCTCGGCGCCCGTCCCCTCGGATACCGGTGACCTGGAAGCTGCATTGCAGAAAGATCGAGCTGAGTACAGCGACCTGTTCAAACCGGACTATGGGACGCTACAATGTTCGGAAAGTCTCCACCGAGCTTGATCCGGCAGTGAAGCCGACCTTTCTGAAACATCGACCACAACCCTTCGTGCAGCTGGAGGCGATCGAAAAAGAACTCGACAAATAGGTCGCAAAAATAATCTTAGAACCCATGAAAGCATCTTACTGGGCTGCGCCAGTGGTGCCGGCGAAAAGGCAAAGGACACTCTTCGCCTCTGTGGCAGCTACGATCAAACGGTGAGTAAGGCCAGCCAGCCGGAGAAGTAGCAGCTACCCATGGTGGACAAGCTTTTCGCAGCGATGGCTGGTGGTAAGATGTGCACCAAATTCGACCTCGGCGAAGCTTTATTCCAGCTGGAACTGGACAACAAGAGTGAAGAGGCATCCACCATCAACACCCACAATGGGTTGTTTCGTCCAAACCGACTGGGATTCGGTGTTTAGAGCGCCGTTTCGATCTCCCATTGTGAGATACAGGTGTTCCTGTCGGGCATACCAAACGTGGGGATATTCCTCGATGACATCGCCGTGACTGATCCAAACCCATCCGCTCATCGAGAAAATGTTCGAGAGGGCGCCGTCTGAACTTGGCGGGCCTGAGAACCAACGAAGAAAAGTCTGCCTGGCTGGCCAAAGAGGTGAAGTACTGCGGTCTCTGCGTCTCTGCCGCCGGGGTCCACACAACGAGAAGACAATGGCTGTGCGGAATGCTCCGGAGCCAAATAACCTGCCAGGGCTGAAGGCACACCTCGGGGTGCTCCATTATTACGCTCAATTTCTGTCCGGGCTGGCTACGATAGCAGCACCGCTGTACTCATTAGAGCGGAAGGGAGCGACCTGAAACTGGGAAGGCCCTTCAGGCGTGCCACGTCCCTGAAGACAAAACAGCTTCTTGTCGTTGCTCCGACGTGCTTATTCACTACGATCCTGAAAGCCGTTAGTTCTAATAACTGACGCCAGCTCGTATGACCTAGGAGCAGACCTCAGCCATCCTGACGTTAAGAAAGGAGACTGTCCAATCGCCTACGCCAGCCAAGTCTTTGCGATGCTGTACATAAGTACAGTCAGCTCGACAAAGAGGTGCTGGGGGTGATGTTTGAAGTTGAAAAATGTCACCAATCCTTGTCGGAGGACTATTCCCGATCAGAACAGACCACAAGCCCCTGCTTGGTCTGCTGTCTGCTAACAGGGCTCTGTCTCTCGCGATGTCTCCCAGGATTCTGCGGTGGCGACTATTACTAGGTGTTGATCAGTATTTGTTAATCCTTTCCGTCGCTGGCCAGTGCATGGGCAACGCGGACAGCCTCAGCCGCCTGTCCCTGCCAGGCGTTCCTGCTAATGTTCCGGTTCCTGGTGACGTCGTAAATGTGCTGGAAGACGTGTGCCACGCGGTGGATGTGGACCACATACGTGCCAGCACCAGCCGGGATGCCGGTGCCCTCCCGCCTCCGACAGACAAAGGAGTGGTGCCCTACCACCGCCGAAAGCCGTAGCTGAGCTTGCAGGACGGCTACACTCTGTGGGGCTGCCGAGTGATGATTCAGCCGCCAGTCGGTTGTCCGGTGTCAAATGCTACACTGTCTAGTGGACTTGTGCCTCGGGGAGGAATGATGCTAAGTAGCAGGAGTATGGACTGAATGTCGTTCTACGGCTACCGCCGGCCAACTCGCCGGTGACGTCAGGGCTTGCAGAGTGCCGGTTGGGGAGGTGGAAGCCGGGGCGCGAGAGGCGCTTGCGGTCGTAGTGTTTACTTTGTTCCTGTAATAAAACGGCTGCCGACGGAGCATTGACCATATACTGGCCAGAATAGGATATCAACTATGGCGCATCAGTTGGTGAGGATTTCATGTTGATCAGCTCCACAGGCTCGCAACACAGGGTTTTCTGCAAACCTGTTTGTCTGTGTTTTTATATTTTTGGTGACGTTTGACCCGACATAAGGTCACCATGTTCTGGGAATGGTAGGTTTTAACTAAGCAGTATTGAATGGTGAAGGTTTTATGTTGATCGGTGCAAAAGGCTCGGAGCGTTGGGTTGACAACAGGTTTGGTCATCCACTTGATGCCTCCCATGCTATTCTGTGTTCTACTGACTTAGGGCCTTGCATTGATGAAGCTTGACTATGGAAGTGGTCTGGGTCCTCAGTTGCTTTTCTTTCTGTAATGTTTGGGACCACTGCATGTTTAAGGTATATGGAAGTTTGTATTGCAGCCTGTTTCTGACTAATACTGACTGTTGATCTATCTGCTGCAGGATATACCTCAAAACAAGTTTAAACTGGACCTACCTTTGTAAACAAGCACCTTGACCCACCTCATTATCTGCAATAAACAGAATGGCTGAAGGGGAAGCAAAGGCTTTCTTGTATGGGTTTTTGGGAAAGAAGAAACTGATTCCTGAATATTCAGTCAGGCAGTCTGGTAAGGCTGGGGAAGATGCATATGGAATACTGATGATGCAAGATATTGGACATATGTCCAGGCCATGTCCATGCATGTGCATGAAATTTTGTAGGATGGCCTCATGCTGGGCCTAAGTTTAAACCCTTAAAAAAATTGGTGGTTTATGATGGATCAGGCTTAAATATATTTAGAACTGATTTTCAGCTGTTTCTTGAGTGATTGTGATCTGACATCCATGCAACCCATGATGCATGCACACAACCCATGGCAAGCTGGACTCTCCATCTTTAGGGGCTCCTTTCCAATAGCAAAGCAGTCACTGGCAATAGCAGTACAAGGAGATATGTGGTGTAAATTGTTTTCCAGGGCCAAAGCACAGACAGAGGTTTCTTTGTGAGCTGAGAGTGCACAATTACACCTACACAGCAGTTGGCAATTCTACAAGCAAGAAAGATGCCCAGACAAATGCAGCAAAGGATTTTATCCAGTATCTGGTCAGAACTGGTGAAGTTAATCCCACTGAGGTTCCATCAGAGGTGAGAAGCATGGAACTGTTGTGTGTCACTGTATGTACAGTGGATGTTTTCAGTGATATGGACCCAATCTTAACCTTATTTGGACTGTCAACACATTTGGGAAGGGCTGTATGTGATGCCCTGTGTTGGTTAGTACTGTAAAATGCCAGGTCAGTTGCTGCTTTTGTATGCACAAAGTCTGAGTGTAAAGTTGCCAGCAGGGTGTGTTGTGCAGTTTCTTCCATGCTACTGTGTCATATTCAACCCCAAATGCTAGGAACAAATTTCGTGGTAGATTTAAACCCCAGGTCATTATCAAATGGGGGCCAGATTGACATTGATGGTAATGATTGACATCACAAGTGACAATTACTGAATGATGCAGTCTTTACTTCCTCACTAATGTCATGCACTCCTTGTCAGCTGTTTTTCTTATGCCAGCTTTGCACAAGAAACTATGTTGTATTCTCTGAGTGACCCTGACCTGGCACCTGTTGGCGGACGTCTGACGTGCAGCGGTCTGATGTGCAGCATTTGTTTTCAGAAGGTGGCAGGAGCGCCGGCGCCGGCGGCGACCTCGCAGCACGGGTTCGCCGCCACCCCGCTGCAGCCGGTGCCGCAGCTGCACGAGCCAGGCAATGTGTACAAGTGAGTGGATGCAATGTGTACAGGTGAGTAGGTAGCTGCCTGCTGAACCGCATACCTGCATCACGTGTGAGGGAGGTATGATCCGGTGATCCGGTACATGTCACGCGGCAGTTGCCACCGCGTTGTGTTTCGATGCGGTTTTCACGGGTCTCCAGAGGACGTCAGAGGTTGAGGTGCCAGTCAACTTGTGTGCCTTATCTTGGTCACCTGCATTTCCTTTCAAGACGTCGCTCGAAGACTGAAGTTTGGATATAGTTTGTACCTGTGGCTTCGTTTCAAAGTGTGTCATTATGCCCGTGATGCCAAGGCATTCTGTTTTGCAGGCCCATCAATTCAGCCCCAAACTCAACATATTTGGACAAGATTGCGGCCATGAACAAGAAAGAGGTTGAAGGGGTGAGTTCCATGGGGGGGGGGGGGCAAAGGCATTATCACTCATTTCGAGTTTTCCTATTGAGCAAGCATCTACATTAATACCATCTTTTGAGCGCCTCACCTTACACAAACAAATGTGACAAATCTCAAGTACATTATGCCAGTCTGGTTTCCCCTGACTCCTGCTTATAGCTAGAAGATTACCCACCCAGAGCACCTTTGACGCTCGACTGGCTCACTGCTGTGTGTTGCCACTGAGTCCTAATTTCAGCAAGAGGATGTGGACATCAATGCCAGCATCCATGGCAACTGGAGCATGGAGAATGCCAAGTCAAAGCTGCACCAGTTCCTGCAGACCAGCCGCGTCCAGGCCGACTATACGTACTCGCACGTAGGGCCCGACCACAACAAGTGAGTGGGTGGGCGGCCGGGCCGACACTGACCTCTGTCGCCAGGACCGGGCCGCTGAGCTGAGCCGCTTCGGCTGCAGTGCTCGGCGCCACCGGCAAAAACTGGCATAGATGGACCAGTATGAAGAACAGTTTTCAACTCTGATGATGCTAGTAGCTTAATTGCTACGTTTTGGTGTAGAGTGAGTGCGGTGTGTCTGATCATGCTGTTTTGTGTAGCTTCAGCAGGAGGAAGCGTGATGACAAGCACCGTGATGTATGTGCTGACCATCTCTGTGAACGGTCGCATGGTGTCACGCAACAGCCGTGATGTGTGTGCGGACCATCTCTGTGAGCGGTCACATGGTGTCACGCAGCAGCCGTGACGTGTGTGCGGACCATCTCTGTGAGCGGTCACATGGTGTCACGCAGCAGCCTTGGCCGGCTGGCCAGTGCGACCGTCGGCGCCGGAGTCGGAGGGAGTCGCCGGGGCCGGCCGGCCGGCACAGAGCCGCCGCCGCCGCCGCCGACGAGTGGGCCCGGCCTGGCCGCGCCGCTGTCGGGCGCGGCCGGGCCGGCACCCCTCGACGAGGCACCCTTCAGCTCGGCACCCGGTCGCCGCTGACCGGGCCGGGTGCCGTGCGTGTGTGTTCCAGACCCGTTGGCCGGCCGACCGGTCCCGGCGCCTCCCGCCCCGTCCCGCCCCGTCGGCGGCCACCGCCGGTGAGTCGTGCCGCGGCTCCGGGTCACTCGCTGGTCAGTTGTTGGTATGGACGCCGCGTAGTTATTGTTTTGCGGCTTAGGACGGCTTGTTTTGTGTACGTAAGTCCTGGTGTTAATTGTCAATGTGTTGATCCTGAGGTCGAAGTTTGTAAACCGGAGATTCTGGCATATCTTGATTAGAATGAAACTGTGCTTACTATTTTGTTTGTCTTTTGTGCACGACACACCAAATCGGCCAAAACCAAGTCATGTGATTACATAGATATAACGGGCACTGCGAGGGGGGAGGGGCAGGAGTCAGGAGGCAGGACCTCTCCCCGGAACCCTCCGTTGCCCCCACTCTTTGACACTAGTGACTATCATGTTGTGTTAATGGCGTGGCCCATCACATAAGCAGTCTCCACCCCTCCGAGCATTGGCAGTCGCCCATTATTTGAAAAACTGGCGACGACTCGAACATATCCATTAATATTCTAAGCGCAGCTATATCTGTAAGAGGCCATTGTGTTGAAGCGGCTCATCACAAATTCAGGAATGATCATGTTGAATTCCATGGATTCGATTGTGTGCCGGGTAGCGTGGTGTTAAAATGCAAGCGGTCTACATGAAACGTATAGGGATGGCGATCACTGCATTGCGCCTGGAACTCAGTTCTAACCGCGGGGGGTGTCACACCGCACGCGGCTGGTGACACCGCGTGGGGACCCACGGTGGTCCCGTGTCCGTCACCACGTCTCCTGGATGTGCTCTAAGTATTAAAGCTTCATACAACATGTCTGTGCCTTTAAAAGATCGGTCAACGCCACATGGCTTGACGCAACATAGATGCGCTCTCCATGCTATGGTTCATCGGCTGTAAACGGACTGATGCAGCCAGTCTTTTGTGATGTCAGTTACCGCTGCGTCATGGCCGCGTCCTATGTCCGGATTGCGTCATATGCGCGCTTTCGGGACCGGTAACAGTAAGTCTGACATTCGGATCTGTGTTTGCCATGTTCGCCTCGCTTGAGGCCATGTCGCCACCCCGTGCCGTTCGCCCCGTGCTAACCGCGGTGCCGTGTTGCAGAAGCTTTGTGGCCGAGATGGGCTTTTATGTGCGTGAGCTGAGCAGAAATATCCACGCCAGGGAGCAGGGCTCCAACAAACAGGTACGTGGCGCATTTCTTTCTAGCCATTTTCGTGCTGTTCATGACGTGCTTCCGTCTCTAGGTCGGTCTTTGACGTCACTAGTGGGCTGCTGATCGTGGCTGTAGGTCGGTCGGGACTAAAAGGACATTGTTCTAGCACCCTCGATCGCAGCCACATGTATCATCATCGCTGCTAGTGAGTGAACGGCCAAGCTACGTGCGTTGCTCGTTATGAAAACGTCAACTCGTTACACGCCGTGCAGGTGGTGAAAATATTTGTGGGCAGGAAGACGACCGGATATTTTTCTACGTTTGTTCGTCTTTGAGAAGGATTCGGTGTGATAGGTGCTTGTGCCGCGTGCGACGCCTTTGCGATGACCTTGCGACGGCCCTGTCCCCAATGGTGCCATGTCGGCTCAGCGACCGTGCCGGGAGTGGGCGGTGACGACGGAGTTACGTCACCCCTGCGAGTGACGTCTCCCCTGTCGACTCCAGGCGGCGTCCAAGGCGTGCGCTCTGTCGCTGGTCCGCCAGCTGTTCCACCTGGGCGTGATCGAGGCGTTCTCGGGCACGCTGAAGAAGGAGCGCTCGGACGAGATGCCGGCCTACCCAGTGGCACTGGCGCCCGAGCTGCAGAGCCAAGTGGACGCGGTGCTGGAGAAGCTGGACCTGAAGCTGCCGGAACTCGTGAGGGGGCGGCGCGACCCGCCAGCGATAGGAAGCTGTAGGCGTGACTTTTTAGCAAGCGTCGGGTTGGTAGCCCGACATCCGGGTATCTGAGCAAAGTTTACAGCCCGCTAGCAGCTCTCGTGAGGCGGCTGGAATACCGTTGGCGTACAATATTGCGAAATTGATGAGAAAAAATCCCCAAACTTTGGTGATGTTCCTCGGATTGTCCTGTCATGCTACTGTACCAAGCATGTCTCCGCCTGTAAATGCTTCTTCCTGAATCTTGTGCCCTTGAAAATCCTCCTGGAGCAAAGTACCAGCGTTCGCGTCAGTCTCCCCTTTCCGCACTTGTGAGATTGGCGGAAAGACCGCCGTAGTCAAGTTAGCCGCCGTGCAGCAGCGGTGACAGCCGTGCCGGCCGCCGTCCGCAGAAGCCGTCCGTCGACGAGCCGGTGTCACTGGTGAGCGACACGCGACTGGCCGACTTCCAGGCGGCCGCCCAGCCGCAGCCGGCCGGCGTCGTCTCCTGGTCGCCGCCGCAGACCAACTGGAACCCGTGGACCTCGTGCAACATCGACGAGGGTCCCCTGGCCACGGTACGTGGGGCCGCGCGCCGCCGGACGCGTCGGCTGGACCGCGGGGCAGCGGCTCGCTGACCCACCGTTGGTTGGCGTGCACAGCGCGTCGGTCGTGTGGATGAGGTCACGCGGTCTGGAGCATGGGCGCCGGACAATGGGCCCCCAGTCCTACGGCGCGTCCCCGTTGCCGGCTAACAGTCGGCTCGCACCAGCTGCTGCCCTCCGGCGGTACGTGCCGCCAGGCTGGGGCCGTGTATGTCAGTGTGCTGTCACTCTGCGGCAGTCGCTGCGAGTCGGCGCCCTGCCGGAGAAGGTCGGGCGGGGCAGTGCTATGACGGCGGCGTTCTTTTGCTGCGGCCAGGACCTGGGAGGGTGGCACAGGGTCTCAGACGCGTCTGCTCCTCGTCTGATTCTCTACCCGCTGCTGAGCTGCGTCGACTCCCTCCCGGCATGTAGGTGGCCTTCTCTGGACGGGTGTCTGACCTGATCTTCGCCTGTACCTCCCCCGGCTCTGACCTGTGCCTGACCCCGCCCCGTGACCCGCCCGTGACCCGCGTCCTGGCCCCGACCATGCGTCAGGCAACGCTGGATGCTATCTCGGAGGACCTGTGCACCAGCTACCAGGACCAGCTGAAGGAGGACGCAGCTCTGCAGCACATGGTGGAGCAGCGGCGCCAGTTGCCGGTGGCCGACTGCCGCGACCACATCCTGCAGACCATCTGCGACAACCCGGTGGTGTTGATCCGCGGCAGCACCGGCTGCGGCAAGGACCACCCAGGTCAGTCGGCCGGTCGGCCTCGCCGTGGCCGGCCCCGTGTGTGTGTGTGTGTGTGTGTGTGTGTGTGTGTGTGTGTGTGTGTGTGTGTGTGTGTGCTGCGTGCGTGCGCTGCAGAGTGCGTGCGTGCGTGCGTGCGTGGGTGCGTGCGTGCGTGCGTTGCCGTGCGTGGGTGTGAAGAGAGGGAACTTGGTGCGGGTTCAGAATCAACATACCTGTACATGTCCTCTGGTTATTCTGCCGTCCGCCGGCCTGTCCGCCCCGGCGCGTGCGCGGCGGCGGCGGCGGTAGCGCCCGTCGTCGTGGGCTGACGGCGGGCGCCCCTCCGCCGGCCGGGCCAGGTGTGCCAGTACATCCTGGACGAGCACATCCAGTCGGGCCAGGGCGGCCACTGCAACATCGTGGTGACGCAGCCGCGCCGCATCTCGGCCGTCTCGGTGGCGGACCGCATCAGCCAGGAGCGTAGCCAGCCGCTGGGCCATGCCGTCGGCTACAGCGTACGCTTCGAGTCGGTGCTGCCGCGGCCGTACGGCGCCATCCTCTTCTGCACCGTCGGTGGGTGGTGCGGCGGCGACCTGACAGCGGCCGCACCAGTCCGGCCCCTGCGCAGGCCGGCTGCCGGTCTGGTGCGGCGCAGGGCGCAGGCCGGAGGTGCCGGCCCGATTGGTGGCAGGCTCTCGCTCGATTGGTGACTGGCTTGCCCGCTGCGTGGGAATGTCAAGTGTATCAGGCATGGCCTATTTGGTTTTGCTGAATGGGCGCAAACCGACCCCGGCCGTCGGCGCGCCCTTAAGCCCCAATCATCAAGGTCGTCTTCATCGCCTGTTGGTGTAAGATTTTCCTCACCATGTCTGGCGTTCTTTCCGGGACGAGTTCGCTGAGCGTGGGTCCGTTCGTGGTCGACGTGCCCCGAGCGGTCTCACCCCTGGCCATCCCACGACTCAACTCCATATGCCCTGACCCGACGTGTCATCCGTACCTTATCCGCCAGCATCGTTCTTTTGTTTTTGTTTTTCACTTGTTTTAACACGCGCTCGGGTGGGGGGTCAAATTGACCCCCCGAAGGTTTTTTCCAGAACAGTTTCCGAACGGCGCGGCGTAGCCGCGCCAGATTTTGCATAGCTGCAGACAATTGAATAGCGGATGGTTTGACATAAAAAATCAGATGTTCCTTGTAAGGTCGCTGACCTATGGCTAATTGACCAATTGTCATTTATGGCATTTGTACAATTACATGTCAATTGTAATATGACTAGCTTGACCCCCCCCCCCCCCCCCCACCCGAGCGAATAGTATCTAGCCGGCCACCCGGGCACGTGTTAAGCCGCGCACTGCAGAGCGGAAGAGAAGCCGCGCGTCTTATTGAATAGTTGACGCACCAGAAAAACGCACAAAGGCGCTGTGCGCTCAGGCGTCTCAATATTATGTTATTAATACTGTTAGTGTTATATCAAAATCTCAGAAAAACGCGTAAAGGTGCTGTGCGCTCAAGCGGCTCAATATTGCAACCTGTAGATGCGTGAAATCCATGAAAATGTTTGAGTAAATATAAGAGTGCTTGATCTCCTGACGAGACTTCGGGCAGTTATCTGGCTGTGTGCTGCCGCGGCCAGACGCCTCGGTATGCACCCGACGTCGCCATGTTAGGAGTCAATGGCTTACCTACAGCACTCCGATAGCAGGACCTGACCCAGTCCTGACCCAGTCCTGGGGGAGGGGTGTCACCCACCGGTGCGGTCGGCGGTGCCTGATGACTGGCCGCACGGGCTGACGGGCGCACGCCGGTGGCTGACAGGGGTGCTGCTGCGCAAGCTAGAGGCCGGTCTGCGCGGCATCTCGCACGTGATCGTGGACGAGATCCACGAGCGCGACATCAACTCCGACTTCATCCTGGTGGTGCTGCGAGACATGGTGCGTGGTGCGGAGCGCTTAGTGCCGGTGTTTGGAACACTTCCCGGATACGCGCATCACGCCTGTCGTACCTGCACCGATAAACGTGTCTTCTTCAAGGAGGCTGTAGGTTCTGCAGCCATATACATATAGCGATGTACAGCCACACAGCTTTTCAGCCATGTTCGAACCCAGTTAAAAGGCTAGCCCGTAGTTATGAACGTCAAATGCCCGCAGACGTCGGCGCACCCCAACTCCCCGTAATCGTCACCACCCATCAAGAGCGCGTTGAAGTGTGACGGGAGACCCCACACTAACCGAATTTGGCGGTGGCGGGAATTTGTGCGCGCGCGGTGTGTGGCGCGCCCGTCAGCGCGGCGCCGCCGGCGGTGGTGACTGACACGGCGTGGCGCTGCCGCCAGCGCAGGTGCGCCAGTACCCCGACCTGCGGCTCATCCTGATGTCGGCCACCATCGACACCAGCCTCTTCATCGACTACTTCGGCGGCTGTCCGGTGGTGGAGGTGCCCGGCCGCGCCCACCCCGTCCAGCGTGAGCTCGCGGCGACGGCGGCGCCGGACAGGCACGCGCGCCGGCCGACCCGGTTGGGTCCTCTGTCGTGCGTCACGCTGGCGAGGGGAAGGGTGGGGGGGGGGGGGGGGCGCTGGCGTGAGTGAGCCATAGAGTCGACCGTTGGGCGGACTGACCTTGCAGTGACGAGCTGGCAGGGGTGCGTGGTGATTGCAGGGTCTGGTTTTACTCGTCGCTAAAAGTTCCAAGACCCGCTCACATTTCTCGCTCCACGTTTGCCGATCACGAGGCGTGGCCTCTCCTGCGCCAAACACGCCGCGTGCGGTGCGCGTGTGACGCCGGCCAGTGATGAGCTGGCCCGCAGTCGGCGGGGCTGGCCGCGCGCTCTCATGCGAGGGTGGCTGCTGACCGGTCTGCGCCCGGCCGCCGCCGCCAGAGTACTTCCTGGAGGACTGCGTGCAGCTGTGCCAGTTTGTGCCGACGCCCGACAACAGGAAGCGGAAGCGAGACCGTGACGATGACGACGACGAGGCCGGCGGCGGCGACGACGACGCCAACGCCAACCTGAACAAGGTCAGGCAGCGGGCACCAACTTCAGCGGAATTCTAGAACAGCCTCGATATCTACATGATTTTCGATGGATCTCCGCCGTCGGGGTGTTCAGTAATTTGAAGCGATGCTGTTCCCGCTCAGTTGGTAACGTAACCAAAAGCACAGCATGAACGAACGACAGGCTGGTGGTGTCGCGGGCGGCTTCAGTTGCCTGGCCGGCCGGGAGGGGGCGGCACCCTACCGTCGATCTGGCACGAATGGTGAGAGCCTGACCTCCCGTCCCCGGTCAGGTGGTGGACGCGAGCCGGTACGACGCGGCCACGCGGCAGACCATGGCGCAGCTGCTGGAGCGCGACACCAACTTTGAACTGATCGAGGCCCTGCTGCGCTACTGCAAGGGCACTGGCACGACCGGCGCCGTGCTCATCTTCCTGCCGGGCTGGAGCCTGATCTTCGCGCTGATGCGCCACCTCCAGCAGAGCTCGACCTTCGGTGAGCGATCCGGACGGCAGGACGTCTCGCGCCGGATGGGCGCCGGAGCCTGCGGGCGGGCCGGCATCGGGGCGGAGGGCACGCGTTCGATGTCGCGGAACGCGTCGGGAGGGCCCGCGAGTTCCGTCTCGCAGTGGCGCGACTGAAATGACGTGCGGGTAGCTGCAGCTATCGGGACCCCGTGAACGGCGGACGTCCGGGGCAGTGTCACGAGCCTGTGTCGGGGTCGGACGTGATATGTACGCCAGCTGTTGGGCGCGTGTCCGGCGCAGCCGATGCGTGACCGGCCGCCTCCGTCGGCGCGCAGGTGGTCCCGGGTACCTGGTGCTGCCGCTGCACTCCCAGCTACCGCGGGAGGACCAGCGGCGCGTGTTCGACGCCGTGCCGGAGAACGTCACCAAGGTACGGCCGGCGGTGGCCGCTGTGCCCCGGCGGCGTCGAGCGGTGGCGGACCGTGGCAGCCGGCCTCGCACCGAGTCCCAGCGTCACGGGCGGAGCGCACGGCCGCCAGGGGCCGCTGTCGGTCGGAAGGGCGGCCGACGCCGGGCCCGGAGGCGTCGTGCGCTGGTCTAGAGCGGCGCCAGAGTGTGCCGCCTTGTCCCTGACGTGGCACGTGCCGCGTGAGAGCTCCAGAGCTCACCGCGTTGACCTTGTGCGTGTGGTCTTGGCGTGAGCGGCGAGGTTGACGGGTGGCTGCCGGCCCCAGATCATCCTGTCCACCAACATCGCGGAGACGTCCATCACCATCAACGACGTGGTGTTCGTCATTGACTCGTGCAAGGCCAAGATGAAGATGTTCACGACGCACAACAACATGACCAACTACGCCACCGTTTGGGCGTCGCGCACGAACCTGGAGCAGCGGCGCGGCCGGGCCGGCCGCGTCGGGCCCGGCTTCTGCTTCCACCTGTGCAGCCGCGCCCGCTTCGAGCGCCTGGAGGAGCACATGACGCCGGAGATGTTCCGCACTCCGCTGCACGAGGTGGCGCTGACCATCAAGCTGCTGCGGCTGGGGGGCGTCGGCGACTTCCTCTCCAAGGTAAGCCGGCGGCTGCCGTGGGAAACGGCGGGACACCGCACCGCTGTCTGGCCATGTGCTTCTCTGCGAACGCGTTCGGGATTGGGGCGTCGAGCGCGTCAGCACGAGTGCCGGTGCACCTCTGGTGGCTGTGTGAGAGTCCGCGTGCTGCTGGGTTATGTGCACGTATGTGTGTGTGTGGGGGGGGGGGGGGGGCGTGCTTGCATGCGTTTGTAGATGTGTTCTGTCGTCGTCTGGGAGTGCGAGTCTCTGTTTGGAAACATGTCTCCGTGTTCGCCAGCGTGACTGCTTCCCGGCCGGGCGTGCGTACGCGTGTGAAGCGTATGCTTGGGTGCCGTCGGGGCGTCAGCGGATGTCGGGCCCAGAACTCGCGCCTCCCCTCTCCTGTCCGAGCGCCGGCCGACCTCTTGCTCCACGCGCTCTCGCCAGGCCGGTGCAGCCGCCGCCCATCGACGCCGTGATCGAGGCCGAGTGTCTGCTGCGCGAGATGCGCTGCCTGGACGCCAGCAACGAGCTGACGCCGCTGGGCCGGCTGCTGGCGCGGCTGCCGGTCGAGCCCCGCCTGGGCCGCATGCTGGTGCTGGCCTGCTGCTTCGGGCTCGGCGACGCCGCCTGCACCATCGCCGGCCAGGCGGACGGCCAGGACGTGTTCCAGTCAGGCCCCGACCAGCGCCGCGGCAACTACCACCAGCGCCGCTTCGCCGGCAACCGCTGCTCCGACCACCTGGCCGCGCTCAACGCCTTCCAGGTGACTGGGGGCGCGGCACGGGCTAGCGTCCGCCGCCGCTGCCGCCGCCGCCATGGCGTGCGTCTCAGCGCGGCGCCGACCGGCTGTTGGCCCTGGTATGCAGGACTGACCTTACGTTTTTTCATGCTTTGGGTCACGCTGTGGATTGGATTCGGGCCCAGTTTGACAGAGGAACGCGTCGGTGGGTGCGTTTTTCGTGATTGGGCTGTGATGTGCAACCGCCGACCCGGCTCCTGACCTGGCTCCTAACCCGTGAGGTGTGCTGTCCCTCTGACCCGGCTCTTGACCCGTGAGGTGTGCCGGACCCGGCTCCTAACCCGTGAGATGTGCTGTCCCTCTGACCCGGCTCCTAACCCGTGAGATGTGCTGTCCCTCCCGTCCTACCTGTGAGGTGCCGTCCCTCTGACCCGGCTCCTAACCCGTGAGATGTGTTCTCTGACCCCTCTGACCCGGCTCCTAACCCGTGAGATGTGCTGTCCCTCCGACCCGGTTCCTGACCCGTGAGGTGTGCCGTCCCTCTGACCTGGCTCCTAACCCTTGAGATGTGCTGTCCCTCTGACCCGGCTCTTGACCCGTGAGGTGTGCCGTCCCTCTGACCCGGCTCTTGACCCGTGAGATGTGCTGTCCCTCTGACCCGCTCCTGACCCATGAGGCGTGCCGTGACCCGCTCCTAACCCGTGATATGTGCTGTCCCTCTGACTCGGCTCTTGACCCGTGAGATGTGCTGTCCCTCTGACCCGGCTCGTAACGCGTGAGGTGTGCCGTGACCCGGCTCCTGACCCATGAGGTGTGCCGTCCCTCTGACCCGGCTCCTAACCCTTGAGATGTGCTGTCCCTCTGACCCGGCTCTTGACCCGTGAGGTGTGCCGTCCCTCTGACCCGGCTCCCAACCCGTGAGATGTGCCATCCCTCTGACCCGGCTCTTGACCCGTGAGTGTGCCATCCCTCTGACCCGGCTCCTAACCCTTGAGATTTGCCGTCCCTCTGTCCCGCTCTTGACCCGTGAGGTGTGCCGTGACCCGGCTCCTGATCCATGAGGTGTGCCGTCCCTCTGACCGGGCTCCCGACCCGTGAGGTGTGCCGTGACCCGGCTCCTGACCCGCTCCTGGCGCGCAGGCGTGGGAAGAGGCGCGCCAGGCGGGCGAGCAGGCCGAGATCCAGTTCTGCGACTCCAAGCTGCTCTCCATGCCGGCGCTGCGCGTCCTGTGGGAGGCTAAGAACCAGCTGAAACAGCTGCTGGTGTCGGCTGGCTTCCCGGAGGAGAGCATGCTGTCGCAGACACTCAACTGCTGGGGGCCTGACCCGGCGCTGGACGTGCTGGTGGGGCTGCTGGCCGCCGGCACCTACCCCAACGTCTGCTACCACAGGGAGCGGCGCAAGGTGAGCTGGCCAGCCGTGGCGCGCACCCCAGTGGCCGCCTCGAGCGCGTGCCACAAGCGTCAGCGGGCGAGGTCGTCAGTCCAGCTGTGGAGTGTCACTGGCGGTCGGGAGCTGCTCTCTGGCCGGTGGGATAACTCCCAGCCGGCGCGTGCCTTCGCTGGTGACAGCTGTCGCGGGCGTTACCAGCAGCAGATTGTCGACCGCTGCGACTGGTGTCCTGACGGCCTCCGGCAGGTGTTGACCATGGAGTCCAAGCTGGCGCTGGTGCACAAGGCGTCGGTGAACTACAGCAAGGTGGACATCCAGTTCCCGTCGCCGTTCTTCGTGTTCGGCGAGAAGATCCGCACGCGAGCCGTCAGCTGCAAGCAGATGACCATGGTGACGCCGCTGCAC